TTGCGCAATTATGTCCATATGTACATATATTTACATGATATATTTACATATGTATACATTTCAACGGAAAATCTATCAAGAAGCTTATTGGCTTATCGCCGTTTTTGGCGCAATTATACAATTTCAATTGGAACATACAAAAGGAGAAATTATGTACATATGTACATATATTTACATGATACATTCACATATGTATAGCTTTCAACGGAAATTTTATTTTTTGAAACCTATTGGCCTATTGCCTTTTTTGGCGCAATTATACAATTTCAATTGCAAACACAAAAGAAGAGAACATCGGTAAAAAAGAAAAAGTCGCTTTTTTCAACCAAAAGCCCCAATTGAAATGCCAGCAAATCAACGAGTTTGGCAATTGCATAAGTTTCTCATATTTATTACCATATCTACGTTTTGCAATCAAAGCATATCTTTGAACAACAATTTTCATATATTTTAAATAAATCATTGCTGCAAACAAGAAAAACGTGCATATACACATTTCTTTCATGCACCCGCAATCATTCGCAACATCTTACCAGATCTTACACACCACACGCAACATATTTAACAGAGAACATACACAAAAAATGTTAAAAACGTCTGTGGACATGTTAAAAGCGTATGTTGAAATTCCATAGTGGATCCATTTCAGACTACAATATTTCCCCTCAAAAAATATGCACCTTCTCGTTGTTAAATGTTCTCTGGCTATGGAGCTGCGATGAATGCAGCGGAGACAACGTAAAAAGTGGAAAGAAAATTTACGAACGCAGTGGAAGGAAAACGAAACAGTTCCCCTTTTGCACACAACGAAAAATCCCCTACACGATGACTGCGTTCGTACGTTGGCCAGAGACTGCGATCCAAACGAGACTTCCGACTTAACGTTTGAAGAATTTGCCCTCTTTTCCGACCTTCAATACAGCAAGAAACCTTGCGAAAGTATTGAAGATGTCGAGGCCCCTTCACACACTGAAGTTGATCATGAGCAGTGTGCGAAGATTTCTCGAGGCTACCAGCAAAATGAGAATAAGCTTAGAATGAGAATAAAAGAGCTTGAGGCCCAAGTGGAAGATTTGACTCGAAAATTTAAGGATTTGCAAGAAAGTGTTATCATTCCGGCAACAAACGCCAGCATACATGCTGTAAAATTTGCTAGAATGATTGTAAATACGCGTCAAAGCTATAGCGAAGACGAAAAAATTTTGGCACAGAACATAAATTATATGTCGACGAAGTCATATAACTTCATGCGCGACGACTTATTGTTTGCCTTGCCCCACAAAAAAACCCTTTTGCGTTGGCGTCCCATACGTTCTGTAGCCCCAGGCTTCGAAAAGAAAGTCCTTAATAACTTGGAGCAAATAGTGAAAGACATGTCTCCAAATGAACGTATTTGTGAAATTCTTTTTGATGAAATAGGCATCAAAAACGACTTGACGTACAACGCAAAAAGGGACATAATAGATGGCTTCGTCGACTATGGTGGTGATAATAACCGTGAGCCCATAATTGGCAACAAATGCCTATTTTTTATGATTAAAGGCATCATATCGAAATGGAAATACGTACTATCGTATGTGGTTGGTAAAGACGCGGTTAAAGGTCCCACCTTCGTTAAATTGTTCCATGAAAATATAGATGTTGCCCAAAAATTAGGCCTTGATGTCAAGGCGGTGGTCTGCGATCAGGGCCCTTCAAATGTCCGGCTTGCTTCTTCTCTGAATATTTCCCAAGAAACCCCATACTTCATTGAAAATGGTAAAAAAATTTTTTTTCTTTTCGACTATTGTCACTTGACTAAGTCCATCCGCAATAACTTACTAAAATATGATTTCAAAACAATGGATGGCATCGCAAGTTTCAAAGTCATTAGAAAGCTGTACGCTATTGACAAAGCCAATGTCAATTTCAAGATTTGCCCCAAACTGACTGATTCCCATGTATATCCGGGTAATTTTGACAAAATGAGCGTCTCCAGAGCTACCCAAACCTTTAGTAACTCTGTTTCAGCCGGAATCGAGATGGCATACGATCAGAAACTGTTCGGTTCTGATTCGTATGTCATCAACTGCGCAAAACCCACTGCAAAGTTATGCAAACGACTTAACGACCTCTTCGACGATCTAGATGCTAAAACCCTATTTAACGAAAACCCCCTTAAGCGCCCTTTATTCTCCAACTCCGACGATAAAATTCAACGCCTCAGAGACCACATTAATTTTTTTGAAACTATAGAAATACCATATACCAACATTAAATGCATTGAAGGCTTTATTATAACACTGGAAGCTATCATTGGCCTATCCAAAGACATATTCGAGCAACATAAAACGATTTCCTTCATCCTTCCCGGGAAATTAAATCAAGACGCCCTTGAAAATTTTTTTTATAAAGTAAGAGCGAATTTGGGCATTAATACCCACCCCACTGCGTATGAGATGCAGTTTATTGTGGCGCGGCTCATCTCTATGCATATCATACGACGACAATTTTCCAAAACCGGTAGCAATTGTGAAGAAGACGATGACATTAACCTTGACTGGAACCCGCCTCAAGAAGATACTCCTCTTGATACCCTGGAACCTTGCGAGGTGCTCCTTCAAGACATTGAAATCCCTGACGAGCACTTCGCCCCCCCTGATAAACCGGCTGAAATTCAAGTCCAGCGGTATTATACAGGGTATGTCATCTTCCAAAAGGTCTTACAAAAATTAAAATGCGAAAAATGTTTTGACCAAATGAGGAAAGTCCACAATACTTTAGACGACGAGTCAGAAGCCCTTATACGCGCCAAAAATTATAAAGACGCTTCTGACCTCAGATTAGTAAACCCTGAAGATCGTGTTTTTGAGATATGTCGAATGCAGATGTCCCTGTACAACGAAATATTCTCAACGCACGCCCACAAATCCGCTATAAAGTCTTTTATTGTCTCAGCGCTGCGAAGTAGAACCCTTGTAATTTATCCTGAGTGGTTTGTGGAAGCAGGCGATTGCTCCGAACATCGCGAAAAATTTTTAGATTTTATGGTCACCGTTTTGCTATATAAAAACTCGAAATGGCTAGCTCGGCAGACATCAGAGCTCCATACTGCAGCCATACAGAGTCGCAAACGTGACAAATTAAAAAAATTAACTACTTAATTTTTTATTTTTTTTTTATTTTTTTTTATTTTTTTACAGTGACAAAGTAGTTAATTTTTTATTTTTTTATATTTTTTTTTTAATTTTTTTAACTTTTTTTGTAGTTTTTTTCCTTTTTTTTATATTTTTTTACTTTTTTTATACATATTTT